CTATCTCAGTCTTGTCTTCTGAACCTCAGATGCTGTCTACACCAAGCTAGGCGTGCCTGACGGTGACGGTGATGTTGTGCTCCCTCAACCGGTTGCTGTCGGTTCTGCCACCCAGGAATTGCCCGCTCTGTAAATGTGGCCGTTTGGTATCGATTCTGTAGATGCACCAACCAATTTGTTGACGTGACGTCACACATGGACGACCGGTCCGTGGCAAGTCATGAGTGTTGCCCTGCTGTTGTAGATAACGTCTCAAAGAGATGATTCTGTGTTTCGAAGAACATTAAAATGTCTGGCAACTTTGCTTTGCGCCATTCCTGTTTGCAGCATACTTGATTTTCATTGCATTGCGTAAGCGTTATTTACGGCTGAACGACATCATTGTGTGCTGTTCAGACCGAAGAAACACGTGTGTCAGTATCATGAACATGCACGTGTAAATTGTGCATCACGACCTTTAAGTCCAGGAAATGTCTTCATGGATATGATCAATGATGCCTCATTTAATCGCAGAATAAATATATGTTTATATGATGCACAGTAACTTGTTCACTTGGTATCGAAGCATTGATTGAAATTGTGTCATCTGCCAATGTTAGTGAGGGTGGAAATAATGCATTTATATTTCGAGATGCACGTGCAAAATATGGCAGTTGGTTGTGTTCGGGTGTTTGTTTTGTGACCAGGAACAATTTTTGACAAACTGTGTCAGTGTTTGCCATGTTCGTGTAGGGTTTAATTGATGATTATTATGAGGTATAAGCCTCATCTTGTTGCCCATCATGATGTTATCGCCAGGTACATCCTCCCACCTGATTTATGAATAATCGTAAAGATGCAACTTCGTATCCTTATTTTGATTCACAGAGGGAAATGTCCAATTCTTACTCTTGGTTTAATTTTAATCAGTATTGTTCAAAGATGATTTACTGTAGGACGTCTAACACAGACGCCACTGCCTTGAACACAGTACCAGCGAGGCTGCCCGCCAGGCAACGCCATCAAGAGATGCGTCTAACATTTGTTAGATGCTGGTGCCAAGAGGCGACCAAATGGATCGGGTGGATAGCGTGGCATTGTACCTCGCAGATCGTTGCTCATAGTATCAATCACTGGATTAGAAGGAATACTGCTGAGTGCGGCGATAAGCAACAAACTGACAATATATTGTTCACGTCACTCCGACTGTCAAGTGGTTTTCTTTATAAATGGCAGAGCTTCTTACAATAGCTACAACACCTAGTGATTCCGGTCTTGTAAATGACTATTGATGGGGTCAATGACCTGAGTGTGAGTCATCGTGCCCCGACAGCGTGGACAGTTTCTCATGTCATCACCCACTGGTTAGCTTGTCCACTTAATTATTTACAGGCCGCAGTGATGAAGTTTGATTTCTGATTTTATGTCTGGCTAAACTTCATTTCATCAAATCAATAAATGTATGAAAATTCAGTCAGTTTGTAAATCATGTCCATTTTCTTTTAAATTCGTGTGCATTTCAGAAAGGGTTTTCTGGTTGGTCGATTATTACAAATATAATCTGAGTTGACAGAAGGTCATAACTCTACATTCACTAGAAAACTCAGAGGTTCCATTCCCAATATGGGTAAATGTGTGAGAAACCCATGAAAAGTTCCAGGTTTCCAATTTTCAATTTAGTACAAAACACATTTTGAAATTTGTCAATATATTTAATAAACAGAACCTGTACACCACTAAGTGTAACTAACATATGAATTATTTGATATAAACAAGGATGGTGTTCTTAACTGATAACATGAAAGCTATTATCAAATACCAAAGTAACAAGGATCTCATGCAATTTGCCATGAACCATTACTATGTTATGGACTATATGGCTTGACAGAATACTGACTGAGATAATACTGGGTCGCGGTACTGTTTTAGTAGTTCTGAGCCACAACTCGCATTGACTTCCTGACTGATACACATCTCTAACTGGGAGTTGAAGCAACTCACACGTCTTAACTTGTGTAAATAATACAAACATGATGCTCAAAAGTAGAATTTGAAATCTTTAGAAAGTCTATAGTCTGTGTAGAGTCAGGTCAAACACCTGTACAATCCTTGGCATCTTCAAGAAAAAGGCACTTATGAATAAGGTACTTCTGGCAAATCTATTATATGAAAACAAAAAATATGTAAGCTAATTTACCTTTGTGTATAATTTGAACTTTCACGTCTAATTACTATTCAAAGGTAAAAATAGATCCAACAAGATGTTTTCAGTGTTCCATTCCTATAACTGTCACCGCTTTTTTTACCTTTACGGCAAATGGAATCTGTTTCGGTGGATAATCTAGACTGGTTACTCTCTTGAATTGAGAGTTTCTATTTAATGTTTAACTACAAACCTAATACTATCAAATACTTTTCTCATGACGTTATCATGTAATAATTAGCTTATGTTTGATTTGCATATACCACCACCACATGAACGAAATTGATAAGAATCAGAAAAAGACAGAGATGATATACCGCAACCACATGGACGAAATTGATTGGAAATCAGAAAAAGACAGAGATAATATACCGCAACCACATGGACGAAATTGATAAGAATCAGAAAGAGACAGGTAGATAATATACCGCAACCACAAGAATAAAATGGATCAGCATAGATTTATGTATATAATAACCCCGTTGATATTCTGAGTTAATCAGATGGTCTGACTCAGTGACTTGGCTGATGGCTGTCATCGCACTGCGCAGGCGTGGAGCGGTACTCAATATGCCAATCACTGGATTGTCTGGTCTAGACTAGACTATTTACAGACTGCTGTCATTCAAGTGGGTTGTTGCTGAATGTGGCGTCAAATATCTAAAGAAATCTCAATAAAGAACAGAGATACTAAGAGCAAAATATAACAATGGTATTTTAATATCCGTTTGTTTGAAAACCCTACTCATGCAACAGTTATGGACAGCTATATGATTGACTTGTGTACAAGCAGTGTGTTCAAAGTTATCCCCTGAATCAAATTTAGCACATATAAAAAATATTATTTTGATGAATACGTAACATTTAACCTGCCCTTAACTTGCACAATGGACAAAACCGGAGTGTCTTATCGATGCCATCCCTCCTTCCCATGTTATGCATAATTCCAAGTTCTCCAATACGTAAAAGGGTAGGCATACGTCGCTTTTCTTTTGATAATACATTTCATAAATATGATTCAAGTGATAATGATGTCTTAAATAATGAATACAGTTCTAATTTCGAGCATCCAGACAATTCAGAACACCATGTTTGTGCATGACAGTCCTTAATCCTCAGTATAAACACACTTATAAAATATTCAGGATCACCAGCACAAACATCATATTGTTGTAGAACAAACATCATATCCTTAAATGAGGCTGTTTTAACATCACATGAACACATTTTGATCTTTCAAAGATGAAACTAAGCAAAATGCTACCATCACATGTCCATTCAAGTTTATGATTACCATTGTACTGTTCACATTTATACTGTGGAGATTATATTCGTTCATAATACTTACAGGTGTAATGGCTATAGTACATTCACTGCATCATAGTGGTGACACTGAAGCGATATTTACAAATTACAGAGGAATTGTTAGACCTTTAAGAATTCAAAAGTCACAGGACACGATATGTGTTTGTGGCATCAATTCACATTTTGTCATTGTTTGGTTCAGGAATAAGGATAACAACACACCAACGAAATACAATTTAAAAAAGGAGAAAATATACATAAAACAAAAGAATGATATAATCATGATAAAACGAAATTACTTCTTCTATTTTGTAATAGTAATGAAAAAAAAACCGTTTTACACATTGATGACAAACGAGCGTAAGCTTTGTTTGTTGTTTAACGCCGCACTCAGCAATATTCCAGCTACATGACAGTGGTCTGTAAATTATCGAGTCTGGACCAGACAATCCAGTGGTTGACATCATGAGTATCCATCTACGCTATTGGTGTGCGATGACTTGTATCAACCAGCGAGCCTGACCACTCGATCCCGTTAGTTGCCTCTTAAGACAAGCATAGTCGCCGTTTATGACAAGCATGGGTTGCTGAAGACATATTGTAACCCGGATCATGTATCAACAATCAGCAGATGGGAGTTTGGTCTGTTTGAACTAGTCGCGACTAAAATCGGTTTTATAGTGTTCACCCACCGACATACCATGCCGCAGTTTAACATCGATACCCCACTCGGACACAGTGTAATGACTCCGACCAGTTCTTGTTTAATTCCTTAAATGCCAGGCAGCACCAAGGGTAATAACAAGTACCATCTTTTAACGTCTTTTGGTATGACGCGGCCGGGGATCGAACCCAGACCTTCTGCTCTGTCAGCCCCTGCAGTTTTGTAACTGAAGGTAAAACAGTTACAGAAACTGTTGATATTCTGCAATATGCTGTTTAACTGACGAATAGGTCACCAGGTCTTGAATTACATTTTAAATCATCTGAACTCTCGTTTGATTTTGAGGTTCAATCGGACGTCCCTCAAAAGATAATAGTTGCTGTATAAAGTTGGAGGTTTGGTCTGCATCAGTTGAATATGATGTTATGTCCATCACTATACGTGTATCAGGCAGAGGACAGCAGGCCACGCAAGGGATTCACCTCCATTCTTTCTATTTGTCGGGCCATGTCACGAATATCTTTCTGTACTTTTGACGGGGATCGTCTTTTATTCTTAACGCTTTCTGTTATGAAGTCGTATAAATTCAATTTGTGTATTGGGATTGTCTCCCCGTCGACGTCGATACCCAGTTTTGAAGGAGAACCGGCAGATTGTTGGATAGATATCATCATATCTGATATTTGTATTGGCTCTACTTTCAGATGTTCAATAACCGCGTGTTCCACCATGTCTTTCATGACTTCATCTTGCCTCTTTAGGGTGGAAATACTTCTATCCAGTAACTTCACGGCACTGCTGTACTCATCCAAGCTCACCTGTGCTATTTGTCGCACCTCGCTTTTTTAAATTGCTAACACAAACGCAGCAATAAGCGCTACGACAGTAGCTGCACCAAGTCCGAATGATGCTCCCATCGTAAAGGGAGCAGCCAGCAAAGCAGCGGTACCAAGGGCAGCCCCTCCAACCATGGCTCTGTTAAGGTTTTTTCAAAGAGAAGCCACCTCCGCTGCTACGTCTTTCAGCCCTTTAACAGACTGGCGTTGCACGACCTCTTCATTGCGTGAATTGATCAAGAGAGTCTCCACAAGTTTACGAGCGTCTTGTTTCTTTCTGAAGAATGTAGACACAAGAAATGCATTAACTTCTCAGAATACACAAATGTTTGTACTAATACTTAGATACGAACTCCTTGTTTTCTTCCTAATAACATGTACATAATGAAAAGAGTGAGTGAGTGAGTGAGTACGGTTTTACGCCGCTTTTAGCAATATTCCAGCAATATCACGAAGGGGGACACCAGAAATTGGCTTCCCACATTGTACCAATGTCGGGAATCGAACCTAGGTCTTTGGCGTGACGAGCGAACGCTTTAACCACTAGGCTACCCGACCGCCCCCATAATCAAAAGAACCAGATTTACCATTAACACTGTAACATATTTAGTAGGGTCAGATAATTTATAAACTGAGGAGCGAAAGAAAATATGTCTCTCGGTTGACTTTATTTTATGTTTGATTTTCAATTTGAAAATATCTTAAGTTATATTTAGCGATATTATATCCAAACTATGAACCGTGATGGCGCCTAGTCAGTACTCAAAGAATATACTTCTGGATGGTTGCACTTTAATCAATATAATTTGATCTAAAACGTTTAAAAATCAAGGGAGGAGTTTGTGCAACCAACCACGAGGCTCAAATGCCCACGCTTAAACTGAGAACGATATCTTAGTGATACGCTCGGCATGTTTCAAATTACGTTTGCGAACATAAAAATACATGTATATATTAGCATATTAGGGATCCTAGAAATATGTGATCTTGGCAAGATGCCAAGACTAAGTTGTGAAAAAGTACATACCTGTCCATCTCTTTAGACATCTCCTCTGAATAAAACAAAATATATTGAAGTAAACGTTGTTTGAGTTCTTAGCTCCTACCAGCTTATACATGGACTAGGTGTCCAGAATGGCAATGTGTTACACATTTTGTTAATGAGTGAGTGAGTGGTAAGTGAGTATGGTTTCACACCGCTTTTAGCAATATTCCAGCAATATCAGGGCGGGGGGACACCAGAAATGGGCTTCACACATTGTACCCATGTCGGGATTGGAACCCGGGTCTTCGGCGTGACGAGCGAACGCTTGAACTAGTAGGCTCCCCGACCGCCCTTTTTTAGTGAAATATAAAAAAAGATGCAACTGTTCATAGCGAACTTTCCTGCAAAAGGCTGACAAAACGTACCATATTGGCCTTCCGGAATCCTAACTTCCACAGTTATCTCCACCTTTTGACCTTTAATCTTTTCAAAGACGGACTCTTCCTTGAGGAGCTGCAGGATGAGCTCACTGAGTTGCCCTCCCTTGGCTGCCTTCTCAACATAATGAAGGAAGTTGGCGTCTGTCACCTGGAGTTCTATCACCACGCTACCCCGATATACCCGTTCCAGTCTAGCATACAGTGTGTTGAAGAACTGTCGCAGACTCTGCCACACCCCACGGTTGTGTGCTGCTCTGTTCATGCGCTCTTCGGCAGCAGGATTTCCGTTGATGACTATGTGTGTCTCAACTGTAGGAACATCTGAAGTAGATCAAACATTCACATTCGTATTTGTTACAATATTGTTGCAATTAGACGACAAGGTAAAGCACAAGTCTCAAAAATAAATTGCGGGATATGACAGACAACATACTAGATTCTTATGAAATCAAACCCATTGTGGAGTTAGTTGCCTTTGAAAACAACAAATCGACAGCCTACTGGACTTGATATATCAAAACTGGTCAATTAGAATACAAACTAAAACTTTACCTCCACTATGATCGGAAACACATAAACAGCTCTATAATAGAAAAGAGCGTTGAGAATCAATAGTGAACATGTGTGTGTTATTAGGTTCATGAACCAATATGGTATCCGACAGCTGTCACACCAGCCCTACCCATCATTCTTTGAAGGGAGACCGCCTCCGTGGTCTAGTGGTAGAGCGTCCGCCCGAAGAGCGGAAGGTCCGGGGTTCGATCCCCGGCCGCGTCATACCAAAAGACGTTAAAAGATGGTACTTGTTGTCACCCTGTCTGACGCTCGGCATTAAGGGGCTAAAACAAGGACTGGTCGGCTCGGAGTCAGTATACTGTGTCTGGGTGGGGTATTCATGTTAAACTGCCGCATGGTATCTCAGTGTGCTAGCACTATAAATCGGCATCAGTACGGACTAGTACAAGCAGCCACACAAACACACACACGTACATGCACGTCGCTATATAAGTGCAATAATCTTGGACGCGACGTTAAACCCCATTTCACCTCACCTCTTTGAGGGGATTCTGATCTGAACTGACGTGTTGGCAGAGTTAAGCCTAAATCGTATACAGACAGGGCTTAATTGCTGACTAAAATGCATCCATCGCGAAGATACTTACTTGCTTTACGAATCACAAATTTAATGTTTACTTCTGTGTCTTCAGGCAATTCATGTGTTGTGTCCAGATTTAGAACTATGGTGTTTCGGTGTCCCGTTTGTCTACAGTTAATTATTCCATTGCTTGAGTCTACCGTCATCTTGTTGTCCGTACCCACTTGTATATTTGGGTGGTCAGTGATGTCCTCATCAGACGAGTCAGTGATGTCCATCGTCAAATCCAGCAACCTACAACACCAAAGTTGTTTTTTTATAAAATACTGAAAGAAAAGAAACAAACATTCATACAAACGATGAAAACAAACCGAGTTGTTGTGCGACCGACAATGTGCTGATCAATAACCTGGTAAACATGGCCAGAACAATAGCAAACAGGTTGCCTTTAAATCACAAGGTATACTGTCCTAAGTAGTGTTTGCAACAGAAGCAACCTTCATTGCCTTTTCCTCAAGGCCAGGGAAAGGTTTATACATACTACGATATTCCATTTCAGTTCTACAACTTCTAACCAGATTAAAGTACCTTGATTGAAGCTAGCATCACTAGGAATATAAATGCACTTCCGGTCTAATCTCAATTTTTATGAACTGGGAGAACATGTGACCCTAAACCTGAAAGCTGTTACAATGTGACGGTTTAATGCAATTCCGTTTCGTTATGACATCACTTCCGGTATGTGAAAATACAGCCCTAATGCTGTAGGCCTTTAAACTCCAGCTATCTCAATTGTTAGTCACATGCTTTTCAAGTTCAATGACGTCACTTCCGACTTGGGAAATCATTAGCGACATTAAGAAAGTACTTCCCATGCGCCTATCTGGTTTCAGAAATGAGTGAGTGAGTGTGGTTTTACACCACTTTTAGCAATATTCCAGCAATATCACGGCGGGGGACACCAGAAATGGGCTTCACACATTGTACCCATGTCGGGAATCGAACCCGGGTCTTCGGCGTGACGAGCGAACGCTTTAACCACTAGGCTACCCGACCGCCCCTAGTTTCAGAAAACAGCAATATGCACTTCATGTTTAATGATGTCACATGTCGTTCCCCATTGGACTATAAAACAGGGTGCGGTCGGGTAGCCTAGTGGTTAAAGCGTTCGCTCGTGCATGGGCACAATGTGTGAAGCCCAAAACTGGTGTCCCCCGCCGTGATATTGCTGGAATATTGCTAACAGCGGCGTAAAACCATACTCACTCACTTTAAAACAGAATGATCAGTGCACCTAGATTTGCAACTTGACCATTCTAGGGTTGAATACTTGCGCCATCTATCAATTGACCTCTGCAAATATACTACGTTTACAACGAACACGCTTATAACGAACCGACGGATATGACGAACTTATGTCTTTGTCCCGACCATTTGCTGTATATATACTGTACATATGCATTTCACGAACTAAAATTACCGGCTCCTTTGAGTTCGTTATAACCGTAGTTCGTTATAACCGTAGTTTACTGTAACCTAATCATAACTATGACCAAGAAAATTACAAGTATATATAAAACAGAACAACAAATTGCAAAAGTTACTACTCTTACCAAATACATACATACCTCCTTCGTCGGGCAGTTAATGGAAGACCTCGGGCTTCTGCAAATGATAATGCCCTGAAAAATAGCGTTACCGTTATTATAGCTAAAATGGATCAAATAAAAATAAACAACAATATCGGTTTTGAGAAATTTAGTGCAATCAACACGAATGTCCCTGACCCACTTTTACAAATATGGAAACGTCATAGCACAAACCTGATGACGTCAGTATTGAATGTGACGTCGCCTATCCCTATCCCTTAGAGTGAGTGAGTGAATGTAGAAATGTCAACTTAAACCCTTGTATTGAACAACAGTGCACAGTGAATTAATACCTACAAACCCTTTCACAAATGAAAAGCCTGCATAATATGTATTGACTTGCCTTTGCATGTATTTGTGAGGGGTGCCACCGGTGGGGCAGGATACACTCACCTAGTATCATCGCTGATTGATAGTGATTCATAAATACATGCTCATGATATAGTCGGAATCGTACAATATACTCTGCTTTTGCCAAAGATGGACAGATATTTGTCGTTTATATTTAACGTGCATTAGAGGGCAAATAATGTTTTTTTAAATGGCTACGATTTTGTTGCGAATATCAATTTTACTCGTTACAACTTTCGAGAGAGAAAAATTCATAATATTCTGAGAAGGTATTTAAATGTACTAATAAGGCATAGTTGACATAACCAGTGGACACGTTATCCAACCAATGAGCCGACAAAAAATGGCCACAGTACTATTAAAAATCCTCAGGCGGACTGGGCGCCGGCCAGATCGTCTGAATTGCGCAGGGCGCCAAACACCGGAAATCGTTTAAACCCCAGCGAGGGGAATCCCCTAGTTGCGGATTTTGCGATTGATGATTGCGATTGTGTAGATAAAGAAAACACACAATAAGAATAGTATAGAAAGTATACATAATAACAACACAACACACACACATAAACATGCTCACAAAATGTATATTAACTACAATCATCACAAAGCCTTGAAAGCGTTGCTGCAGCTACAGTGATTGACAGCCAGGCACATCGCGTCGCAATACTGCAAACATGAAATGTACATGCAGAACTCTGGTACGTACGAGTGCGGAAACTAAAACAAACACATTACTTACAGGATTATGAATGTCCGAAAGCCCGAAGTGATACAGGTCTCAGACGTTTACCACTTCGGTGAAACCCACGAGCACGGGTATGGTGCTGACAAACCTAGAAACATAATCGGGGCGAACCCGGATTCGAACCCACAATCATAGGTTTCTGGCGTGCCCAAGAATCGCGGCGCTTTAGACGACTGGGCCACCTGTGCCCCCTCCTATACATTGGAAGCCAATTAGAACCAAACCGCAATTACATCATTTTAGATTACCAGCCTTTTAATATTTTTTAATTTTGATGCTTTAATTAAATAAATTTCAAACGTATCTGGTCAACAATTTGATAAACCATTCTGTATTGTACATAACGCATTGTGAGTATTTGAGAAAGGAAATTATTTAAACCGGTAATCTATATTATAAATGTTTGGTTCAGTTGGGCTCCTGTTATGTAATTTCTCTTTGAACTAAAATGCCAAAGAGAAATATCCCCAAGTTTTCATTCTAAAAAACATTCACAGACACTTTCTATTGCAACAACAATCAATGCAAGAGTGAGTGAGTATGGGTTTACGCCGCTTTTAGCAATATTCCAGAAATATCACGACACCAGAAATTGGCAATGCAAGAAACCTCAATATAAGAATACACGTATCTCCATGACTAGATGTCATATTAATTGCATTTTTGTTTTGAATGCCATAATGAGTGAATGAGTATGATTTTACGCCGCTTTTAGCAATATTCCAGCAATATCAATCAGTTTATTCATATATAACTGTAAGGCCACAGGCCCATAGTACAGAATGCATGACAATGTGGAAGCGGTTAGGAATGGTACAAGGATTCATTTCTTAATAACATGGCATGATATATAAAGAGAGAGAGATTTTGTATAGCCGTTTTGCTCACATGTGAAATTAAAGAGATAAACTTGTATTTATTTGGATGTACATAGTATTTCTGTTCAATATATTTTTTCCTTAAATTATCATATTTACAACATACAACTGAAAATGAAATTCATCTTCGACAACATTTAAAGAACATTGTTTACATAATCTTAAACATTTGGGTATTTTGTTGTGCCTGCCAACTTCAACCATTAACCTGTGTGAGCTGCATCTAAATTGTGTTAATGATATTCTGCATTTTCTTATATTTACATCAGTTAAATATTTTTCTGCGCATATTTGCATTTTAAAATATCTATAATATTCGCATTTGCTAGAAACATCTACAGTAGATCTCCATGTTTGAAAATACATGTCAAAAAGCGTCTGCCTTATTTTCGATATGAACATGGCATGATTCTCTAAGAAACATTGGTTTTCCCAGATTTATACAGTAGACATTTAACATTGTATGCCCAATTTTGATCTCCATTCTTTTCATACAATAGCATCATATTATAACATTTTTTTGGCAATCTACTTACTGGCATTTTTAGTAATCTTAACCAGTATCTTATGATTTTTAAGTAGTGATATATATACAAGGGCATGCGACCACATTCACCATAAACCATTACGTTAGACGTACTATGTTTAACACCAAGAAATCTTTTGCATGCGTATAAATGTACGGATTCAATTTCTTTAGCCTCTGCAAAACCCCATATTTCTGAACCATGGGGAAGAATAGGAGCTATTTTTGTGCCAAAGATTTTGAAAAAAGGTTTATAAGCACACTCGCTAAAATGTTCAAACGTTTGTAAAATGCCCAATAGCATCTTTTTAGCTTGGATTGCTGCATTACATATATGTCGGTTCCATGATAATTTACTTGAAAATATTACACCAAGATATTTATATGAGGTTTCAGTTTGGAGTAATTGTCCCCGAAAGTACCACTTTTCGTTTTTTGACAGCGTATTTCCTTTGCTAAATACAACAATTTTTGTCTTATCTAGATTAGCATTAAGTTTCCACGTATCACAGTACAATTCTAGCTGATTTATCAAAGTTTGTAAACCTTTTACAGTACTCGAGAACATGATTATATCATCTGCAAATAGTAACATAAATATTTTTATAAGTTCAGGATGTAATTGTATACCATCATCATAATTTCTTTTGATTTGGGCTGCAAGCTCATTAATAAAAAAACAGAACAAAAAAGGGCTTAATACACATCCTTGGCGTACACCAGTATGACATATAAAAGAATCTGAATACATGCCGTTTCGTTTAACACATGATTTAACTTACTTATAAATACCACATAACAATTTACCCATTTTATTACTGACACCATGTGAATTAAATAGATACCATAACTTATCTCTACAGACTGAATCGAATGCTTTCGAAAAATCTACAAATATAGCATACAATTTTCCACGTTTACGTTGAATATACCTATCTATAAGAGCCTGGAGAATAAACATATTATCAGTGGTTGAGCAACCTTGTCGAAAACCTGCTTGCTCTTCCTCAATCTTATCAAGTGCTTCCGACCACAATACCAAGCGTTTATTAATAATGCTAAGAAATATCTTACTGAATATACTGGTAAGTGTAATCCCCCTATAGTTTTCAACATCAGTCACTGAGCCTTTTTGGTGAATTGGAACGATAGATCCAAGTGTCCAACCTTTTGGAAAGTAAGAGGTATCCATTATTGTATTGATTAATATTTCAAAATACGACAGGGTATTATCAAGAGAGTATTTAAAGAATTCTGTTATAAGTTTATCAAATCCCGGGCTTTTCAAGTTTTTCAGATTTTGAATAACAGATTTAATTTCTTCTTTTGAGATTGGGGAATCTAATATTTCCGTTGCAAAATTGATTTCATCATTATCAAAAGAGTTCAACTGGAAGTTATTTGTGGAATCATCACCGTTGAAAAGATTTTTGAAGTAATTAAACCACTCATGCATTTCTATGTTACTTTTAGTTTCCTTCTTTTTGCTGATGTTTTTCAAAGTCGTCCAAAACTGTTTTGATGAGCTGATACTTTCTTCTAGTTTTTCTCTGCTTCTATCCATGAAATTTTGTTTCTTTTTTCTGCAAGTAGCTTTATACTTTTTTTTCGAATCAGTGTACTTAGCAAGTGAGTCTTTATCCTTTAATTTTCTGAAATGGTTTAAAAGAGTGCATCTTTCCTTTTTTAACAACACACATTCCCAGTCAAACCACTGTTTACTTTCTCTGTAAGGGGTTACTTCCCTTTTCATTACATTCCCTGCATATGTAATAGCTTCTGTAAATAACGATACACTTTCATCAATATTTGTATAAACAGAATCAATAGCTTCTCTTAGGAGGCATGCAAAGGCGTCTGATAACACTCGTTCTTGGAAAATATCTGCTTTGCTGTTATCCCACTTAAACATTGAATGACTATGGTAGGCGTTTTCAAATGATGTTTTTCCACCTGAATGAAGCGCTCGTAATGACATTGTGATAGGCAGGTGCTGTGATTCGTGGCGTGACTTAATATCACAATTTTGGCACAAGTCAAATATATCTATGGTGCTAATAATGTAATCGATAACACTTGCTCCAGCATTGCCAACAAATGTAAAATCACCTTTCTCGGAATCACTTCCACAGCGGCCATTCATAATGTGTACATTTAAAACAGCACATAAATTGATAAAACATTTTCCAAAGTTATTAAGAATAGTATCGTTTGAATATCTACACAGATTAAACCTGTCTAAGAGGAAGTCCCAGTATGAAGTATCCTGGCCATGGAGATATTCAAGTATATCATCCTCTACATAATCTGGCTCTTTGCCAGTTCTTGCATTAAAGTCACCCCTTAAAATGCACGAAACGTCACAAACATTACCTGAATGTCAAGCAGTTCATCCTGAAATAGCACTATACCGTTTTTAGATCCAACATTACTGTCGTACCATGTAGATCCTTCTGGGTGAGTATACACACAGCAGTATAACACGTGTTTTTCAAGTCCAAACAGTGACCAGCTGTCTAGTAATAGATATACACCATTTGCTGTGATCCATGAGTTTTTAACATAAGCTAAAAGATGCTTTTTTACGAAGACACAAATTCCACCTGAAGGTCTTCCAAAATTTGCTATCTTGTCTGCTGTCTTAATAAAGTCGGTATATTCGCAGAACGTATCATCAAAATTTAGTTTCTGGGTCCATGTCTCTGTCAAACCAATTATGTCAAATGTTTTTAAAAATGATAGACACTCACAGTCTGATAACTTTGAGAGCAACCCTGAGATATTCCAAAACACTAGTTTCACAGCATTAATGATACTACAAGTAGGTTCAGACGACGCCCCTGTATATCCGGGCCCTGGCCACACCCCTATCTCTTCTGTGTCGGTCTCCAAGCAATATCACTGCGGGGGGCACCAGAAATGGGCTGCACACATTCACTATAAAACTCAGAGGTTCCATTCCCAATATGGGTAAATGTGTGAGGAGCCCATGAAAAGTGCCAGGTTTCCAACATACAATGTACCTTTTCAATTAAGTACAAAACACATTTTGAAATTTGTCAATATATTTAATAAACAGAACCTAAGTAACAAGGATCTCATGCAATTTGACATTCAATTTTCCATGAACCATGACTATGTTATGGACTATATGGCTTGACAGAATACTGACTGAGATAATACTGGGTCGCGGTACTGTTTTAGTAGTTCTGAGCCACAACTCGCATTGACTTCCTGACTGATACACATCTCTAACTGGGAGTTGAAGCAACTCACACGTCTTAACTTGTGTAAATAATACAAACATGATGCTCAAAATCAGAATTTGAAATCTTTAGAGAGTCTACAGTCTGTGTAGAGTCAGGTCAAACACCTGTACAACACTTGGCATCTCCAAGAAAAAGACACTTATAAATAATGTACCTCTGGCAATACGATGATATGAAAACAGAAAATATGTAAGCTAATTTACCTTTGAGTATAATTTGACCTTTCACGTCTAAAAATAGATCCAACAAGATGATTTCAGTGGTCCATTCCTATAATTGTCACCGCTTTTTTTACCTTTACGGCAAATGGAATCGGGGATAATCTAGATTGGTTACTCTCTTGCATTGAGAGTTTCTATTTAATGTTGAACCACAAACCTAATACTATCAAATAGTTTTCTCATGGCGTTATCATGTACTAATTAGCTAATGTTTGATTTGCATATACCGCAACCACATGAACAAAATTGATAAGAATCAGAAATAGACAGGTAGATTTGTACCCCAACCACAAGAACAAATGGATAAGAATCAGAAATAAACAGGTAGATAATATACCGCAACCACAAGAATAAAATGGATCAGGAGAGATTTATGTATATAATAACCCCGTTGATATTCTGAGTTAATCAGGTAGTCTGACTCAGTGACTTGGCTGATGGCTGTCATCGCACTGCGCAGGCGTGAAGCGTTACTCAATAAACCAATCACTGGATTGTCTGGTCCAGACTGGACTATTTACAGACTGCTGTCATTCAAGTGGGTTGATGCTGAATGTGGCGTCAAACATTCTCAAAAAATCTCAATAAATTACAGAGATATCAAGAGCAAAATATAACAATGGTATTTTTAATATAAGTTTGTTTGAAAATCCTACTCTGGCAAATTCAGCACAAAAATATTATTTTGATGAATATGTAACACTTAACCTGTAGAACAAACAACTAACCTTAAATGAGCCTGTTTAAATACACATGAACGCATTTTGATCTTTGTCACCGAAAGAAATCTTCCCAGTGGCAAGAGAGTTAACTGACTTTAAAAGTCCAGTTTCCACCATTGCCGAACTAGGCTGGAATTCCTGGGCCCGATCGTAGCGCCACCAGTGGCTATTACGAGTAATGTCCTTTCTATGCCTCTCCTATTGACCAATCAGATTCAACCTCTCGTATCACATACATTTGCTTCAAACAAAACGGTGGCGCCCAGTCAAGACGATCTGATCGATAATCAAGATCTATATAGTGATAAAACGATTCTTACATCGCGAATATCATCAAATCACGTGAGCACCTTGATTAAAAACATGAAAAGATTTAGAAAAATATCTGTTGACAACGAGTGGGCGGTGCGCATGATTTGCAAATCCTGCAGTCGACCGAAATCTGCATGACACTTTACGAACCGGATTTCGATTTCGGTGCGCGATTTTGATTGGACAATGCATAGACTCGTTAGTCCAGCCAAAACTCCATACTACCAGCCTAGTTCAGCAAGGGTGGAAACTGGACTTTTATATTTAGTTAACTCACTTGCCTCGGGAAGATGCCGAAAGATGAAACTAAGCAAAATGCTAACATCACATGTCCATTCAAGTTTATGATTATTATTGTACTGTTCACATTTATATTGTGGAGATAATAATCGTTCATAATACTTACAGGTATCGTGGCTATAGTACTTTCACTGCATCACAGTGGTGACAATGAAGCGATATTTACAAATTACAGAGCAATTGCTAAGCATTACATTCACTGCATCACAATGGTGACATTGAAGCGATATTGACAAATTACAGAGCAATTACTAAGCATCACATTCACTGCATCACAGTGGTGACATTGAAGCGATATTGACAAATTACAGAGCAATTGCTAAGCATCACATTCACTACATCACAGTGGTGACATTGAAGCGATATTGACAAATTACAAAGCAATTACTAAGCATTATATTCACTGCATCACAGTGGTGACATTGAAGCGATATTGACAAATTACAGAGCAATTACTAAGCATTATATTCACTGCATTACAGTGGTGACATTGAAGTGATATTTACAAATTACAGAGCAATTACTAAGCATTATATTCACTGCATCACAGTGGTGACATTGAAGCGATATTTACAAATTACAGAGCAATTACTAAGCATTATATTCACTGCATCACAGTGGTGACATTGAAGTGATATTTACAAATTACAGAGCAATTACTATGCATTATATTCACTGCATCACAGTGGTGACATTGAAGCGATATTTACATATAACAGAGTAATTGTTAGACCTTTAAGAATTCAAAAGTCACAGGACACGATATGTGTTTGTGGCATCAATTCACATTTTGTCATTGTTTGGTTCAGGAATAAGGATAACAACACACCAACGAAATACAATTAAAAAAAAGGAGAAAATATACATAAAACAAAAGAATGATATCATCATGATAAAACGAAATTACTTCTTCTATTTTGTAATAGTAATGAAAAATAAAACCGTTGTTTGTTGTTTAACGCCGCACTCAGCAATATTCCAGGTACATGACAGTGGTCTGTAAATTATCGAGTCTGGACCAGACAATCCAGTGGTTGACATCATGAGTATCCATCTACGCTATTGGGGTGTGATGACTTGTATCAACCAGCAAGCCTGACCACTCGATCCCGTTAGTTGCCTCTTAAGACAAGCATAGTCGCCGTTTATGACAAGCATGGGTTGCTGAAGACGTATTGTAACCCGGATCATGTATCAACAATCAGCAGATGGCAGTGGGGTCTGCTTGAACTAGTCGCGACTAAAATCGGTTTTATAGTTCACCCCCCGACATACCATACCGCAGTTTAACATCGATACCCCACTCGGACACAGTGTAATGACTCCGACCAGTTCTTGTTTAATTCCTTTAATGCCAGGCGGCAGCAAGGGTAACAACAAGTACCATCTTTTAACGTCTTTTGGTATGACGCGGCCGGGGATCGAACCCAGACCTTCCGCTCTGTCAGAACCTGCAGCCTTGTAACTGAAGGTAAAACGGATACAGAAATTGTTGATATTCTGCAATATGCTGTTTAACTGATGAATAGGTTACCAGGACTTGAATTACATTTTAAATTATCTGAACTCTCGTTTGATTTTGAGTTTCAATCGGACGTCCCTCAAAAGACAATAGTTGCTGTATAAAGTTGAAGGTTTCGTCTGCATCAGTTGAATATGATGTAATATCCATCACTATACGTGTATCAGGCAGAGGACAACAGGCCACGCAAGGGATTCACCTCCATTCTTTCTATTTGTCGGGCCATGTCACGAATATCTTTCTGTACTTTTGACGGGGGTCGTCTTTTATTCTTAACGCTTTTTGTTATGAAGTCGTATAAATTCAATTTGTGTATTGGGATTGTCTCCCCGTCGACGTTGACAACCAATTTTGAAGCAGAACCGGCAGATTGTTGGATAGATATCATCATATCTGATATTTGTATTGGCTCTACTTTCAGACGTTCAATAACCGCGTGTTCAACCATGTCTTTCATGACTTCATCTTGCCTCATTAGGGTGGAAATACATCCATCCAGTGATTCCACGGCACTGCTGTACTCATCCAAGCTCACCTGTGCACTTTGTCGCGCCTCGCTTTTTTTAATTGCTAACGCAAATGCAGCAATAAGCGCTACGACAGTAGCTGCACCAAGTCCCAATGATGCTCCCAACGTAAAGGGAGCAGCCAGCAAAGCAGCAGTACCAAGGGCAGCCCCTCCCACCATGGCTATGTTAAGGGTTGTTCCAAGAGAAGCCACCTCCGCTGCTACGTCTTCAAGCCCTTTAACAGACTGGCGTTGCACGACCTCTTCATTGCGTGAACTGGTCAAGAGGGTCTCCACAAGTTTACGAGCGTCTTGTTTCTTTCTGAAGAGAGTAGACACAAGAAATTCATTTACTTCTCAGAATACACAAATTTATGTACTAATACTTAGATACGAACTCCTTGTTTTCTTCATAATAACATGTACATAATCAAAAGAGTGAGTGAGTGAGTGAGTACGGTTTTACGCCGCTTTTAGCAATATTCCAGCAAAATCACGAAGGGGGACACCAGAAATGGGCTTCACACATTGTACCAATGTCGGGAATCGAACCCAGGTCTTTGGCGTGACGAGCGAACGCTTTAACCCCTAGGCTACCCGACCGCCCCCATAATCAAAAGAACCAGATTTACCATTAACACTGTAACATATTTAGTAGGGTCAGATAATTTATAAACTGAGGAGCGAAAGAAAATATGTCTCTCGGTTGACTTTATTTTATGTTTGATTTTCAATTTGAAAAATTCTTAAGTTGCGATATTATATCCAAACTATGAACCATGATGGCGCTTTGTCAGCACTCAAAGAATAAACTTCTAGATGGTTGCACTTTAATCAATATAATTTGATCTAAAACGTTTAAAAATCAAGGGAGGAGTTTGTGCAACCAACCACGAGGCTCAAATGCCCACGCTTAAACTGAGAACGATATCTTAGTGATACGCTCGGCATGTTTCAAATTACGTTTGTGAACATAAAAATACATGTATATATTAGCATATTAGGGATCCCAGAAATATGTGATCTTCATGATGCCAAGACTAAGTCGTGAAAAAGTACATACCTGTCCATCTCTTTAGACATCTCCTCTGAATAAAACAAAATATATTGATCAGAAGTAAACGTTGTTTGAGTTTGGTCACAATGAATTGGCTTTAACTGACTTTCTTAGCTCCTACCAGCTTATACATGAAATGGGTGTCCAGAATGGCAATGTGTGACACATTTTGTTAATGAGTGAGTGAGTGCTGAGTGAGTATGGTTTCACACCGCTCTTAGCAATATTTCAGCAATATCACAGCGGGGGATACCAGAAATGGGCTTCACACATTTTACCCATGTCGGGATTGGGACCCTTGTCTTCGGCGTGACGAGCGAACGCTTGAACCACTAGGCTACCAGACCGCCCTTTTTTAATGGAATATCAAAAAAGATGCAAATTTTTATATCGAACTTTCCTGCAAAAAGCTGACAAAACGTACCATATTGGCCTTCTGGAATCCTAACTTCCACAGTTATCTCCACCTTTTGACCTTTAATCTTTTCAAAGACGGACTCTTCCTGGAGGAGCTGCAGGATGATCTCACTGAGTCGTCCTTCCTTGGCTGCCTTCTCAACACAAGGAAGGAAGTTGGCGTCTTTCACCTGGAGTTCTATCACCACGCTACCCCGATATACCCGTTCGAGTCTAGCATACAGAGTGTTGAAGAACTGTCGCAGACTCTGCCACACCCCACGGTTCTGTGCTGCTTCGTGCATGCGCTCTTCGGCAGCAGGATTTCCGTTGATGGATATGTGTGTCTCAACTGTAGGAACATCTGAAGTAGATCAAACATTCACATTCATATTTGTTACAATATTGTTGCAATTAGACGACAAGATAAAGCACAAGTCTCAAAAATAAATTGCGGGATATGACAGACAGTATACTAAATTCTTATGAAACCCATTATGGAGTTAGTTGCCTTTGAAAACATCAAATCGACAGCCTACTGGACTTGATATATCAAAACTGGTCCATTAGAATAGAAACTAAACCTTTACCTCCACTATGATCGGAAACACATAAACAGCTCTATAATAGAAAAGAGCGTTGAGAATCAATAGTGAACATGTGTGTTATAAGGTTCATGAACCAACATGGTATCCGACAGCTCTCACACCAGCCCTGCCCATTAGACCAAGGGAGACCGCCTCCGTGGTCTAGTGGTAGAGCGTCCGCCCGGAGAGCGGGGTTCGATCCCCGGCCGCGTCATACCAAAAGACGTTAAAAGATGGTACTAGTTGTCACCCTGTCTGGCGCTCGGAATTAAGGGGCTAAAACAAGAACTGGTCGGCTCGGAGTCAGTATACTGTGTCTGAGTGGGGTATTCATGTTAAACTGCGGCATGGTATCTCATTTGGCTAGCACTATAAATCGGCATCAGTCCGGACTAGTACAAGCAGCCACACAAACGCACACACGTACATGCACGTCGCTATATAAGTGCAATAATCTTGGACGCGACGTTAAACCCCATTTCACCTCTCCTCTTTGAGGGGATTCTGATCTGACCTGACGTGTTGGCAGAGTTAAGCCTACATCGTATACAGACAGGGCAAAATTGTTGACTAAAATGCATCCATCGCGAAGATACTTACTTGCTTTACGAAACACAAGTTTAATGTTTACTTCTGTGTCTTCAGGCAATTCATGTGACGTGTCCAGATTCAGAACTATGGTGTTTCGGTGTCCCGTTTGTCTACAGTTAATCATTCCATTTTTTGAGTCTACCGTCATCTTGTTGTCCATACCAACTTGTATATTTGGGTGGTCAGTGATGTCCTCATCAGACGAGTCACTGATGTCCATCGTCAAATCCAGCAACCTACAACACCAAAGTTGTTTTTTTATAAAATACTGAAAGAAAGGAAACAAACATTCATACAAACGGTGAAAAGAAATCGAAAGAGAAGCATGTTATAGAACTGAGTTGTTGTGCGACCGACAATGTGCTGATCCATAACCTGGTAAACATGGGCAGAACAATAGCAAACAGGTTGCCTTTAAATAGCAAGGTATACTGTCCTAAGTACCTTGTTTGAAGCTAGCATCACTAAGAATATAAATGCACTTCCTGTCTAATCTCAGTTTTTATGAGCTGGGAGAACATGTGACCCTAAACCTGAAAGCTATTACAATGTGACGGTTTAATGCAATTCCGTTTCGTTATGGCATCGGTATGTGAAAACACAGACAGCATTTATGCTGTATACCCTTAAACTCCAGCTATCTTAATTGGGTTGGACATGCCCTTCAAGTTCAATGACGTCACTTCTGACTTTGGAAATCATTAGCGACATAAAGAAAGTACATCCCATACGCCTATCTAGATTCAGAAATGAGAGAGTGAGTGAGTGAGTGAATGTGGTTTTACGCCGCTTTTAGCAATATTCTAGCAATATCACGGCGGGGGACACCAGAAATGGGCTTCACACATTGTGGCCATGCCGGGAATCGAACCCGGGTCTTCGGCGTGACGAGCGAACGCTTTAACCACTAGAAAACATCAATATGCACTTCATGTTTAATGATATTACATGTCGTACCCCATTGGACTATAAAACATGGGGCGGTCGGGTATCCTATGGGTTAAAGCGTTCGCTCGTCACGCCGAAGACCCGGGTTCGATTCCTCACATAGGTACAATTGCAATATTGCAGGAATATTGCTAAAAGTGGTGTTAAACCATACTCACTCTCTTTAACACAGAGTAATCAGTGCACCTAGATTTGCAACTTGACCATTCTAGGGTGGAATACTTGCGCCATCTATCAATTGACCTGTGCAAATATACTACGTTTACAACGAACACGCTTATAACGAACTGACGGATATGACGAACGTATGTCTTTGTCCCGACCATCTGCTGTATATATATACTGTACATATGCATTTAATGAACTGCGGTCATAACGAACTAAAAATACCGGCCCCTTTGGGTTCGTTATATCCGTAGTTTACTGTTTACTAATCATATCTATGACCAAGAAAATTACAAGTATATATAAAACCCAACAACAAATTGCAAAAGTTACCACTCTTACCAAATACATACATACCTCCTTCGTGAGGCGGTTAATGGAAGACCTCGGGCTTCTGCAAATGACAATGCCCTGAAAAATAGCGTTACCGTTATTATAGCTAAAATGGATAGAATTTGTTACCAAATACAAATAAACAACAATATCGGTTTTGAAAAATTTAGTGCAATCAACACGAATGTCCCTGACCCACTTTTACAAATATGGAAACGTCATAGCACAAACCTGATGACGTCAGTATTGAACGTGACGTCACCTATCCCTATCCCTTAGAGTGAGTGAGTGAATGTAGAAATGTCAACTTTAAGCCTTGTATTAAACAACAGTGCACAGTGAATTAATACCTACAAACCCTTTCACAAATGAAAAAGCCTGCATAATATGCATTGACTTGCCTTTGCATGTATTTGTCAGGGGTGCCGCCGGTGGGGCAGGATACACTCACCTGGTATCATCGCTGATTGATAGTGATTCATAAACACATGCTCGTGATATAGTCGGAATCGTACAACAGACTCTGCTTTTGTCAAAGATGGACAGATATTTGTCGTTTATATTTAACGTGCATTGTATGTTTAACAGAAACCTGCTTGCACCATGATATTTTAGCCACTGATATTACACTGATACCATTTTCAAATCGTAGCCTGTATTAAGGAATATATTTTAGATCTTAAATCAGAGTATAACGGACAGCCTGAGCTGGAAGCGCGCGTGGATATGTTTTTTACGTTTTTTACGTAGTTAAAACCGAATGTTTGCGAGGATTAATAAGATTTCTGAATTCAGTTACAACAGTAACCGTACATGTATTTGTTACATTAAGTCATTTCATTCAAATCTGTTTGGTATGATTATGTCTTATAATTATTTTAGGATGGAAGGTACAGTTACCAAATAAAATATGCTGAAATATCAATTCATTATGACCATATTTCATAATCTATTTTTTAAAGTAACCCTCCTTACATTAAAGATAACTATTTAAAGAATATAGTACTTAAAGACATTGCAACAAACCGAATAATCAGGGGGGAGACTTTATACTGAGGGGGGCGCGAAACATATCCGCCCGGGGGAGATTTTATTTCAGAACAGATTCTCCAGGGGAGAATCTGTACCGGTATAAAATCTCCGGGGGGTGAATTTGTACGGGGGAGAGTTTATACCGGGACACCGGCCAGATCGTCAAAATTGCGCAGGGCGCCAAACACCGGAAATCGTTTAAACCCCAGCGAGGGGAATCCCCTAGTCGCGGATTTTACGATTGATGACTGCGATTTTGTAGATAAAGAAAACACACAATAAGAATAGTATATAAAGTATACATAATAACAACACAACATACATATAAACATGCTCACGAAATGTATATATACTATAAGCCACACAAAGCCTTGAAAACGTTGCTGCAGCTACAGTGATTGACAGCCAGGCACATCGCGTCGCAACACTGCAAACATGAAATGTACATGCAGAACACTGGTACGTACGAGTGCGGAAACTAAAACAAACACGTGACTTACAGGATTATGAATGTCCGGTAATGCCCAGTACTGTCCACCCTTGGCTGTGGTGTGCGCGTCTACAGGTGAGAAGATGACGGTTGAGGCTGGTGACCTCCAGTGCTTCCTATCTGGGTCACTTTCCCGCAGTGGGGGTTGTTTCGTAGAAGGGGGCGGTATAGGCAACTTTTATAGGTATTTATCAACACAGCGCTTTCAACAGAAATAACGGCGCTCCTGATCTTATTTCTGGCTTCTTTCACCAGGGGCATTACGACATGTCTTCTATAGTCACCAACTTCTCACGGGAATTGCACGTTTTGTAAAACATGGTTTTCCCTTGAAAAAGGAAAACGTTTCGTATCCGAACCTTTGTCAGCGTCCCTCGTTCTTGTTTACTCAAGAGTAGCTGTCAGGTGACGAGGCTCACACGTACACCAGAGCAAGGGGGGTCAAGGCCGTCCTATACATTGGAGTGAGTGAGTTGGGTTTTACGCCGCTTTTAACAGTATTCCAGATATATCACGGCGTGTCAGCTTAATGTGGGAGGAAAGCCCGAAGTGATACAGGTCTCAGGCGTTTACCACTTCGGTGAAACCCTCGAACAAGGGTATGGTGCTGACAAACCTAGAAACATAATCGGGGCGAACCGGGATTCGAACCCACAATCATAGGTTTCTGGCGTGCCCAAGGGACGCAACTCTGCACAGCGAATCGCAGCGCTTTAGACGACTGGGCCACCCGGGCCCCCTTCTATACATTGGAAGCCAATTAGAACCAAACCGCAATTACATCATTTTAGATTACCAGCCTTTTAATATTTTTTTAATTTTGATGCTTTAATTAAATAAATTTCAAACGTATCTGGTTAACAATTTGATAAACCATTCTGTATTGTACACAACGCATTGTGAGTATTTGAGAAAGGAAATGATTTAAACCGGTAATCTATATTATAAATGTTTGGATCAGTTGTGCTCCTGTTATGTAATTTCGATTTGAACTAAAATGCCAAAGAGAAATATCCCCAAGTTTTCATTCTAAAAAACATTCACAGAGACACTTTCTATTGCAACAACGATCAATGCAAGAGTGAGTGAGTATGGGTTTACGCCGCTTTTAGCAATATTCAGAAATATATCGGCGGGGGATACCAGAAGTGGGCAATGCAAGAAACCTCAATATAAGAATACACGTATCTCAAATGACTAGATGTCATATTAATCACATTTTTGTTTTGAATGCCATAATGAGTGAGTGAGTATGGTTTTACGCCGCTTTTAGCAAAGTCCAGAAATATCACGGCGGGGGACACCAGAAATGGGGATCACTTATTGTACCCATGTCGGGAATCGAACCCAGGTCTTCGGCGTGACGAGCGAACGCTTTAACCATTAGGCTACCCAACCGCCCCGAATGTCATAATGAACCAAACCTAGAAATGTGTGGTTCATTATCAAGCATATATCCTTTTTTATGTTTGATGTTTCCCTTTGACAGGATGCCTTTGCATGTGTTTGTGAGGGGTGCCATCGGTGGGACAGGATACGCACACCTCGCGAACACCTTGTGTCATCACTATTTGATAGTGATTCATAAACACATGCTCAGGATAGTCGGAATCGTACTATCAACTCCATATTTCTATTGAATAATGAAAGAGTTGTTTCCCTTTTATTACTAATTTGCAGCTTGACTAATTTGACTTACATGGGTTGGAGTGAGTTTTGCCAGCTATGTCGCTAGTTGTGTCACTGAACCATTTTGTTTGCTTGGTATAAGACAAGAGACCAGTGTACATGCGAATACACTGCTCACTCACAGTCTTATGCATGGCATCATGGCGCCATGTGGTCACTGTCGACGTCAAACTGGGACTTGTTGAATTTCTTGAATAGATTTTCACAATGTGTTTTTTAAACCAGTCTCCGAAAATTAGTAAAGATCCAATCATCTCTCATGGGTTGTCAGTGTCGATCGACGACATATGTAGATGTATTTAAATAAAATCATTAGCATATCCGCTAGTTTCATGTGTGAAAAAGTGTAATTAATATATTATAATACATATTTGTTCTCCATCCGTTTCTTGAGTGTTATTTTCTAATAATGTGTATTTTTTATCTGTAATGAAAGTGCGAAATATTGGTACATGTGTACCTAGTTTAATGAAGCCTCAACCTTTTGAACTCACTCACTCACTCCACGCCGTATGGTGAAATATATCCAGCAAGCATGGAAAAGCAGTGGACTAGACATTGAGCAGGCTAAACCTTGCATAATACACACCCAGTGCTATTTAAGGTGCATGATTGTAAATGTGGCAGATACATTACCTTGTATTAATTAACAATTGATCATAGAATTACAGGAATACAAGTCCCTATTTGTACTAATAGGTTTTTTTCTATCAACAGGTTTGATGATTTTTAAACAGACTATACTCTTACGAACAAATTTAAGACTCTTAAGAGTTTGATCTATTATAATTATTCGATATTCTAACATAACCTCATATAACAACAGTAAATATCACAGCTGTTCATGGTCCACAGGTATTTACAGTTACTATTGATCAACTTGTTCTCATCGCGATTGGCTGAAATACTGCCGATACGGCCATGGTTTGATCTGGACGGCTGGTGGTTGTGCAAGGGTCTGCAGGCGTTCAGGAGAACGTTTAAGCGACGCTTGCGTTACTAAACGGCGTCATTTTGGGGGAGGAAGTGTATGGTGAAATGGTATATGGGGTGACCTCACAATTCATGGGAAAACACATCTTGTCGTTGTAAATGACAACTTAAATGGCGTACGCTACCGGGGCTACATCGTTCGGTAACATGTTCTACCTCTTGTGCAAAGGAAAGGACGTAACGTCAGGTTACAACAGGATTATGCCCGCCCACTCGTTGCAGGTTGTTGTTAGAGACTTTTTGTGGCAGCATAACATTGTTGTACTGCCATGGTCGGCTGTTTCTCCAGACCTCTCCTCCATAAACATGTCTGGAATGTGATGGGTCGACGCTCACGACAGGACTAGAACCAGCTAAGATGGTAGCTCGGTTGGTCCAATCTTTGGTTGAAATTTGGAACAACATCCCTCAGGCTGTTTTCAATCGTCTGGTGCCTTCAATGCGCTCTGCTGCCTCCTCTGTATCAACGCAAATGGTGGTCACACCCAATATTGATATTTAAGGGCTTGTATTTCTGTCTCGTATTACCAGGTATGGGTTCTGTCAAAGAATTTGTTATAATCAAACATTGATCAGACAAGTGTTCAAGACTTATGTTGTGATTTTCAATAGTGAGTGAGTTCGATTTTACGCCGAATTTAGCAATATTCCAGCAATTTCCCGGCGGAACACAGGAAATGGGCTTGACACATTGTACTCATGTGAGTGAGTGAGTTTGGTTTTACGCCGCTTTTATGAATATTCCAGCAATATCACGGCGGGGGACACCAGAAATGGGTGTACCCATGTGAGGAATCGCACCACGAACCTAGCGTCTTCGGAAGTGACGAGCGAAACCACGAGGCTACCCCATCGCCTCTTTATTTTCATAAACATACCATTGACACAACTATATATGAGGCACAGTTACTTTTTTCGTTGGTATATATGAGTCTTCCCAAGTTGTGACTGAATCGAGCCAGTCACCTCTAAGCTGTGACCTACAATTGGGAAGTTATTTATTGCACTGCTCGGGTGTCTTGGCATGTTCTGTGCTTATGGAGAGATCTGCTCTGATTAACAAACACAGAGACATACTTTACTGCAATGCACTATCCATTTCCCTCAGTTATCCTATTGTTCCTCGGTAGTATTTTCATCAAATACAACCCGTTAAGATCCGGTTTAGAATAGGGGCCGACAGAGAGCAAATGTCGGGGATTCTATCAAATAATATTTTAGACAATTTAAAATGTATTTTGAACAATACATCCATGACGTTATAATACGTATTACCAATCAACTGTGAAAATCGCTTTCGTTATCTGCCTGGAGAACGGAGGTCGGGGGTTCGACCCCTGGCCGTGTCATACCAAAAGACGTTAAAAAATGGCACTTGTTGTTACCCTGACTGAGGACTGACGGGGAGTCATTTCACTATGTCCGTGTAGGATACCTATGATAATCCGCGACATGGTATATCGGTGGGTAAGCACTATAAAACCGATTTTAATCATGACTAGTTCAAGGGGGTATGTTCTCCGAGCAGTAATCGGATACATCCTTGTTCATCCTCGTTTGATTCATGAACAATTGCAAAGAGGCAACTTGGAATGTTGCTAGTTCCTCGGTATAGTTATTCATACAGAAATGTTAAGATCTTGCTCTATGTATGACCTTAATCGGTGTTGTCCAAGGTGATTTACCGTAGGACGAGTGACACAGAAGCGGTGGTCATGAGCACTGCTAACGCCATCAATAGATGGTTCCAATAATTGTTGACGTACCCCCTAGTCTGAACAGGTCTAGAATGGGTCCTCAGCAACCTATGCTGGTCGAACGATACCAAATGGACCGGATGCCAGGCGTGGTGACACAGCTGACAGCGTAACATCGTACTCCGACGGAGTGGATAGTTGCTCACAATATCAATCACTGGATAAGTTCGAATACTGAGCTTTAAAAAAAACAAAAAAACATTACTGACGTTACTGCGACTGTCAAGTGGTTTTCAATAAAAACGGCAGTGCTTCTTACAATAGCTACCCCGTAGTGATCCAGGTGCTTGTAAATGACTGATCATGATGGGGTCAATGACCTGAGTGTGTGTCATCGTGCCCCGAAAGCTTGGATAGTTCCTCATGACACCCCCACTGCTGTCATGAAGCTGTTATATTGTTTACTGGCTGAACTTCATTTAATTATATCTTTCAATACGGTAATATTCAATTCGTATGAAAATCATGTAAATTTCCATTGAAATCCCTGTTTTCGTTACAAAACAGGTTTTCTGGTTTAAAGATTAATACAAGAATAACCTCAATAGACAGCAAAGTAACCCAAATACTATTGTTTACATTATGATTGTCATAACTCTACATTCACGATATAATACCCAGGCTCGAACCCCCGAATGGGTAAATTTGTGAGAAGGCATAAAAAGAACTCCATTTGAAATATCGAATCATGCAATGTACCTTTTGAATTTAAATTTGTCAAAATATTTAATAAGCAGAAGTTGTACACCATTAAAGCTAAAATATTATCGACACAAACCCAATCAATGGAAAAAAAGGATTAATATTTTAAGAAAACGTCCAATAACCAAATACATTAAGCATGGATAACCTAAGCATCACCTATACCACAAACTATTGATCCAAACATACAAATGATTTGATATTGATAAGAAAAAAATATTGTTATTAGTTAATAACATGAAAGTAACAAGAATCTTATGCAGTTTGATATTAAATTTGAAAAGAAAGTGGAACATAATTGCGTGAGTAGTAAATGGCTTTATAGAATGCTGAGTGCTAGAGAACTTGGTAGCGCGGTGCTGTTTTAGTAGGACTGAGGCACACCTCACATTGATTTCTGACTGTTGTACATCTCTGATTGGGAGCGAAAGTAACTTGAGTAATTAATATAAATATGATACGCAGAAGTAGAATTTGAAATCTTTAGATCCCCTATTGTCTATGTAGAGTCCAATGAAATATATAAATTGCCAATGCAAGAGAATAACCATTCTGATTTATCCGCCAAAAGAGATTACATTTGGCGCAAAGGGCAAAATAGCTAGCGATAAAGGTAAAATTAAGTAAAACTAACATGGATGGGAGTGATGAAATTACAGATCCATATCTTAGGAGCAAATAAAATGTTATTACCGAATAGAGTAGCTAACGCTCATTTTAAGAAGTGTCATTTCAAGGATACAATATAAATTGTCAGTTCAAGAGGAAAACCAGTCTAGATTAACCATCGAAACAGATTCCATTTGGCGTAAAGGGCAAACAGCTGTGAACATTATATGAATGGATCACTGAAGACCGGTGATGACACCAGGTGTTCGCGAAAAGGGGTAAGCATGTCCTGCCCTACCGGTAGCACCAGCAATTCATACAATTTGCAACGGCGGTCAGTGAACCATACAATCCAGTGGCACGACAGTGCATGAACTGATTTTGTTGGAACTAATAGTGAGTGAGTGAGTGAGTGAGTATGGTTTTACGCCGCTTTTAGCAATATTCCAGCAATATCACGGCGGGGGACACCAGAAATGGGCTTCACACATTGCACCCATGTCGGGAATCGAACCCGGGTTTTCGGCGTGACGAGGTAACGCTTTAACCACTAGGCTACCCGACCGACCCGTTGGAACTAATAAAAACGATATGTTAATTTTGAGTTACGTCTGTTGTGTACAAGTACAGAGACTCTGTTGCTTATAGTATAGAAAAACCTTTAAGAAATATATTCGTTTTGGAACAAAGTGGGGGCAGTTTTAACACAAACACCTGTAAAACACTTTACATCCTCAAAGAAAAAAGCTCTTGTGACTTCTGACAAAATAGTGATATGAAAACTGAAACAACTTTAAGATAATGTGACTAATAATTTGATCCAAAGACTTCAGGTCTAATTACCATTCAGAGGTTTAGATAGACCCAACAAGATCATTGATGTTAAACTAATGTTAAACTACAATCCTAATATTATCAAATTACCACACTGACATGTACTAATTAGCAGATCGACGACATACATATACTGCAAGCACATGAACGAAATAAAAAACAGAAATAAACATGCACATGATAAACCCCAAGCACATGAACGTATTTCCGAAAAATAATATATTATGTTTGTACACAAGAAGACTCCAGAAGGGATTCTAAGTTAGATGCTCCGTGACTTGGTTGATAGCTGTCATCGCACTGCGCAGGCGTGGAGAGTGACGCTTTATACCAATCACTGGATTGTCTGCTCCTGTCTTGATTATTTACAAACTGTTGTCATAAAAGTGGAATATTGCTGAGTGAAGCGACATAATAAGAGTAAAATATAACAATGTGTATTTGTTTGAAAACCCTTCTCTTACAGTAGTTATGAATAACCACAGTTTGTGCAAGAAGAATGTTCAAAATTATCAAATTCCTCACATATAAAAAGCACTATACTGATGAAAAATAAACATTTAAGCTGAAGAACAAACATATCAAAAAAGCCTCTTTTAACATCACACAAACAAAAATCCAAATCCAAAAGAAAGATTCCAAATCTGCGTACTCTGACCACGTCCAACCCAAGATGGGATTGGACTCGTGAAGGTCCGGGGTAGAATAGGTCTTCAGCAACCCATGCTTACTGTAAAAGGCGACTATTCTTGTCGAAAGAGGCAACTACTGGAATCGGGTGGTCAGGCTCGCTGACTTGGTTGATGCATGTATAGATCCCAAATGCGTGGATCGATGCTCAGGATGTCAATCATGGGACTGCCTGGTCCAGACTCGATTATTTACAGACCGCCGTCATATAGTTGGAATATTGCTGAGCGCGACGTGAAACAAAAAAAACTAGATGGGTTTGATGTGGTCAGAGAAGGCAGATTTGGACCCCAAGAATTAAAAACAAAAATGAAAATAAACATAAAATAACAAAGGCGATAAGTGTGATAAAACGAAATAAATAACTACAAAAGGCACATGTCACACTTGGTATAAAATATGTTATGGACAGGGCCAGACTAACGCCGATTTTATACAGCTATCCCACCGACATATCAAGCCACATATATCAACTTGGATACAAAGACCTTCTAACGATATACTTAAAGTACATCGAATATCTGCTGAGATTCTTAGATTCTATTGAAAGACAAGTGTTCCCTATTAGCAACTTTTGAAGTCAATGCAGCATTAAGAATAACCTACGATTCGTCTTGTCCTTCTTTGATTTAGACCACACGGTCAATTCTTACATTTGATGGATTCCAAGAGAAACGCTTGAGCAATGTTTTAATCCCACCGCCAATTGAACATAAGATTAGTCTTGAATGCGGCACCTCAGTAAATTAATAAAGTTTTCTCTACCCCTATGTGTAATGAAATAAAGAAAAGTATTGCCATACTTTATAACATTACACATGGTGGTAGAGCAAACTATATTTCTTAAATAGTTGCTTTATAAAGTATAAAATATGACGTAATGTCCATCAGTATACGTGAATATCAGGAAACAGGCGACGGAAGGGGTTCACCTCCATTCTTTCTATTTGTCGGGCAAAATCATGGATATCTTTCTTTACTTTTGAGGGGGTAGTTCTTTATTCTGAACATTTTCTGTTAAAAACACCGACCAGTTCTTGTTTAATTCCTTTAATGCCAGGCGGCACCAAGGGTAATAACAAGTACCATCTTTTAACGTCTTTTGGTATGACGCGACCGGGGATTGAACCCCGACCTTCCGCTCTCTGTCAGCCCCTGCAGTTTTGTAACTGAAGGTAAAACGGATACAGAAATTATTGATATTCCGTAATATGCTGTTCAACTGATGAATGTTACCGGGACTTGAATTACATTTCAAATTATCTGAACTCTCGTTTGATTTTGAGTTTCAATCGGACGTCTCTCAAAAGATAATAGTTGCTGTTTAAAGTTGAAGGTTTGGTCTGCATCAGTTGAATATGATGAAATTTCCATCACTATACGTGTATCAGGCAGAGGACAACAGGCCACGCAAGGGATTCACCTCCATTCTTTCTATTTGTCGGGCCATGTCACGGATATCTTTCTGTACTTTTGACGGGGGTCGTCTTTTATTCTTGACGCTTTCTGTTATGAAGTCGTATAAATTCAATTTGTGTATTGGGATTGTCTCCCCGTCGACGTCGACAACCAATTTTGAAGCAGAACCGGCAGTTTGTTGGAGAGATATCCTCCTATTTGATATTTCTATTGGCTCTACATTCAGACGTTCAATAACCGCGTTTTCAACCATGTCTTTCATGACTTCATCTTGCCTCATTAGGGTGGAAATACATCCATCCAGTGATTCCACAGCACTGCTATACTCATCCAAGCCCACCTGGGCACTTCGTAGCACCGCGCTTTTTCTAATTGCTAACGCAAATGCAGCAATAAGCGCTACGACAGTAGCTACACCAAGTCCTAGTGATGCTCCCAACGTAAAGGGAGCGGCCAGCAAAGCAGCGGCACCAAGGGCAACCCCTCCCACCATGGCTCTGGTAAGATGTTTTCCATGAGAAGCCACCTCCACTGCTACGTCTTCAAGCCCTTCAACAGACTGGCGTTGCACGATCTCTTCATTGCGTGAACTGGTCAAGAGATCCTCCGCAAGTTTACGAGCTTCTTGTTTCTTACTGAGGAGAGTAAACACAATTAACTTCTTAGAATATACACAATCGTTCTCTTCATGACGGAAACATGTTTTTTTGTTTAACGCCATACTCAGCAAAATTAGCAACATAACGACACTTGTAAATTATCGAGCCTCACCATGTCAAACTAGTGGTTGATTGCACGAGGAAGGATCCACTCGTTTTGAGTACGATTACAAATGTTGAATGTACAATGCCGATTGGTTTTTTTCATCACTTTTTGTACTATTTTCTAACATGTTATTACTATAGGATTGCCCAGACGTTAGAGCTAGTTAGAAATTAATATTTCTTCATGTTTATAGACGCTTATTCTGTTCACTGAATTCCCCATTACTATATTTAGCTCTGTGTCTATAGATTCAGAGCGTGGTAACGCTCTCAACAAGACTATGACAAGAGGGGTGACTTTTCAGGTACAATCGAGCATGCTTTCCACCAGGAATTCAAACTCTTGCTCAGAACAACATTCAAGACCTCAGTTAAGTTTTCAAAAAGTTTATGTTGGACATGTAATTCCTTGTTTTGACTTGTCCCGTGTTTTCCAGGTAAACAGTTTATACGCTCGTCTTTGCCAACACCTGTTATCATCACTATTTTGTAGTGATTCATAAACGCATGCTCATCATTTAGTCGGAGTCGTACAATCGACTCCGTTTTTGCCAGAGATTTCTTTCGAAGATGGAAAGGGTTTGTCACTTTTGTTTGCATGGGTGCACAATCTTAAAAGTACTCATTTAGTTATTATTATCAATTCTTGCTTTATTTGGAATTATGTAACTAGCGCAGTCACAGATAAGAGACGATGCATATTTTCAGAAAGTGTTCTGTGCTTCTGACAGTCAAATTTCATTTTTGAACGTCACCCTTTTTTTGTCCTGTTCTGGTTGAGGTCAAATTTTACGTGCGCTTCATCTCAATTTGTAGCTGTACGACAATACTTGTACCAAGGACAATAGAGAAATATTTTACACACGCTTCAGAGAATTTATTGATTTGCAAGAAGTGAAACCATCGGACATACTCGTGTTTTTCCGGGACAAGTCGAATAGCGACTCGTGCCCCTCTCATGACCATTTTTGCGACCGGGTTCCGTCTTAGCGCAAACGGGCACACCTAAAACAGTTGTCAACTCGTTGCGTAATGGTTCACATATATTTCCCCATATATTATATATATTTCAGATGCAATTTAAAGCACATCGGGACATGCGGAATTATACAGTATGATTGACCACATTTTACTGTGTCTTGGGTATATTTTTAGATGCAAGACATATGTTAAATCAAAAATTGTTTCTGAGGGATTCTTTGACGAAGAACTTGAAATCATACGCGCATTCTGATTGGTTTGTCGTATTTTCGCACTTAACATTCATCGATAGGGGGACGAGTCTTCTTGTAGGTTACGGAAAGGGGAGAGTGGTGACGAATGGAAGTGAAACATGACCCGTAGAATGCCAGACGAACAGAGCAGAGAATTACTACATGTCAGGTATTTGTTGAGTGACTGGATTATTGTCATACAGCTGAGGTTTATGTAGTATTACAGAACTTTGTGTCATCATTGTGAAAATAGTTAGATAAATCTCTCAAACCCCGTCTTCATTAAGTCAAGCCGCACAAACAGTCCTGTTCTTCGATGAGTGACTTCAGGAATACTGGTGACCTCGATTCTACAGCTAATGAGTCACAGCTTATTTCAGAACTAGTGACCTTCAATGTCAGTATTATGTCGTATGATGTATGACCATATTGAGGGGCGGTCAGGTAGCCTAGTGGTTAAAGCTTTACCTCGTCACGCCGAAGACCGGGGTTCGATTTCCAACATGGTAACAATGTGTGAAGCCCATTTCTGGTGTCCCCCGCCGTGAAATTCCTGGAATATTGCTAAAAGCGGCCTAAAACCATACTCACTCACTCACTATGACCATATTGAATATTCAGCTGTTTCCACTCATACTATTTCTATAGTGACTGCCATATTGAATTTCTAAAAAAATAAACTCTATTTCATTTTTAAGAGGGTACAAATGTACAGAAAATGACAGAACATTCCAGGTAAATATGTGGACAAGTGTGTTTGAGTTCCGAAGTCAACCATGCTACGACCCGTGAAGATCCGGGTTAGAATAGGTCTTCAGCAACCCGTGCTTGACGTTAAAGGCGATCATGGTTGTCGTAAGAATCGACTAACAGGATCGGGTGGTCAGGCTCGCTGACTTGGATGATGCATGTCATTCCATTGTTCCAATTGCGAGGATGGATGCTCAAGATACCAATCACTTGATTGCTAGTGCGGCGTTAAACAAGAAACAAACTTACTAACCATGGTAACAGACAGACAAGGGGCGAAGACTCGTTACATTTACGATCTACGTATGCAACCAAACACAATGTTCAAATGCTAAGGCGAAAAGTATTATCAGCAGAGTGAAAGAGTCGGCATGTGTGAAATTACGTTTGAAAACAATAACTACCTGTTTGTACAAGCATATTATATATACCATTAAATTGCAATCAAAGAAAACTTAATCATTTAACAGATGTAGTCACGCAAATGTAATACACACCTGTTCAACCTTTCTGTCATCTCATCTGAATAAAATAAAACATTTTGAAGTAAACTTTTGCGTGGTCACAACCATAACGAATTTTATTCTATCTTTGTGCTTCCCTACCAGCTTATATATGATGTCTAGAATGGTCATGTGTGGCATATTTAGCGTTAAATGAAACATTACTAAACTAGGTAGCGACAATAGATATAAATTCCAATAAATAACAGCTCTACATAAAGCTGACAAAACTTACTATATTGGCCTTCCGGAATCCTAACTTCCAGAGTTATCTCCACCTTTTGACCTTTAATCTTTTCAAAGACGGACTCTTCCTGGAGGAGCTGCAGGATGATCTCACTGAGTTGTCCTTCCTTGGCTGCCTTCTCAACACAATGAAGGAAGTTGGCGTCGGTCACCTCGAGTTCTATCACCACGCTACCCCGATATACCCGTACGAGACTAGCATGCAAATTGTTGAAGAACTGTCGCAGACGCTGCAACACCCCAGTGTTCTGTAATACTATGACCATGCACTCTTCGGCAGCAATATTTCCGATGTCTATGCGTGCCTCAGCCTTAGAAACATCTGAAGTATATCAAACATGCATACACTGTCTGAAAACTGTTGCAACTGGACAACAAGACAAAGTGTACAGGATGAAGGGCACAATGCAAAACCATCGCATCCCAAACAAGACTAGGTAGATACTTATGAAAACAGAACCGTTAAAACACCACACAGCTTTAAGTATAATTATGTGTTAGGAGACCAAATGAAAATGAATATTGACTTATGTAGTTAGTTTTAATTTCTCACTTAAATTCAAGGCCACTGATGAACCTACAACCTTTCGACAAACATACCAGGTTTTGACTATTTTCATATAAGAACATAAAAGGAATTAAAATAGATTGTCATAGCGACTGATTTACGACATCCATTGTCTGAAGAACATTTATTTGCAAAGGCTCATTACCCTTGAGCCATGACATCTTTGTGCTGGTAATTGCTGTTATTTATAAGATGCTAATCCTAATTGTTAATCCCCATGTGCTAACCTGGCACATAGTGTCTTTTGTATGTATATATCTACATGTATAAAGTAAAACTGTATATACCGCAAGCCATCGTCTCCAAGTTGTCACTTCCTACTGAGAACCATACATCGGCCCCTTGCATATACGAGTATGCAAATTATTCATTAAGCAATTTCAGACTCCAATGAATTAGCTCTATTCTTAAGAGCTATATAGTTCTGAAAGTGGAATCAACCATGCTCGTGCTCATACAATCAACATCAGGTAGGCCTCTCACATGTGACACAACTAATAAGTGAATGTCTTACAAATCATGAACTGATTGGTGGTGAAATATATTCACATACACTCTACTGAGTGAAAATTTTAGAATATATTTCAATGCGTGAGTGAACATGTTCATCATTTAGTATGAAAAGGTACTATGAAAGGAATTACAGTAAAAAAAAAACAGTATTCACTAAGGTAAATGCGCAGGTTGATATACAGTTTACCCCAATTCCCAGAGGGGTAGGCACTTGGTTTTTGTCGGATACAAGATCATGATTAAGACCAGGCGTGAAAGGTCCATTCATTAGAAATGTTTCCCAAAGAGGGTACCCAACCAGTTGCATGAGTGCCGTTCTGAGGTGACCAATAGTGGGATTTCCTAAGATCTTTTTAAAACGGTAGCGAGAACTAAGATAGTTCTGAAAATTTAAATATATGCTTTGCAGTATATCTTTCACAATATTATTTTCACAATAAATTATTAAATTCCTTGCTTAGTTTAAAACGATACTGCGAAATCTAAAAAAGTTTTGAGAACGATAAATGTGTCCTGCACAGTTTAGAAATGTCTATGTGAAGTGTAAGGTAAGACGTTTAGGCATGTGAATCGGAATTTCTGTTCAGATGGCAAACTCAAAACAGGGTAATTTGGCCAAGTTTGGGTAAGTTCAACTTCAGCTTCAGGTAAGTCGATGCCCTGATATCGTTCAGTAACAATCAAATAGCCAGTTCCCTTCCACTGATTTAACCACCTGAACTAGAAATAAAGAAGACCCGAGAGACCGTCTCATCTGTGTCATATTTAGATCTATACATAAGGGTTCAGAAAGACAAAACAGTACCCACAAGGCTGTATGACAAGAGGGATGAAGCAATATTCCTACACCTCCACCCCTTACATTTCACAACTTTTGAGATACAATCGAGCATGCTCTTTCTACCAAGATTTCAACTCTTGCTCCACAGTCGTTTGATCAAGGTTACAACATTCAAGGCCTCAGTAACGCTTTCAAAAGTTGTATGGTAGACACGTTTCGCGGACATTTCAAAATGTGAAGCATAAGGTGGAAAAAATTATGTCCGATGCCATTCACTATTTCGAATTGTGTCGTATGTTCCCGCGTTTTTTAGGTAAACAATTGACTTGCCTTTGCATGGGTTTGACAGGCACCACCGTTTGGGCAGGATACCTTCACCTTTTCGCGAACACCCGGTACCATCACTATTTTTGGTGATAGTGATTCATAAACACATGCTGTAATCGGAATCATAATATTTTGGCAGAGATTTCTTATGAATATAAAAGGGGTTTGTCAATTTTATTGCACATTTCTAAATGATATTGTGAACTTTAGAGAGGGTTAGGGCTTTTGCGGCGTGCCATAGATTTGACCTGATGTGTTGGTAGCTTTAAACCACTATTGTAACTGTGCAGGGGCAGACGGTTTACTAAGAGACGCCGACAGCTAACATACTTACCTGCTTTACGAATCACAGGTCGTTTTATGATCACTACCGTGTCTTTAGGCGGACACAATTTAAAAGTGTTTCTTTGTCCTATTAGTTGAAAGGATACATTGTCAAACCCTCTTTTTGTAGATTTTACCGTCATCCTGTTGTTGGTACCAATTTGTAGATAACAAGGCGGACGCGAGTCTGCGGCACCCATCGCGTAATACAGTTACCTGTAACACCAGCAAAGATAAAAGACGTTTTAGATATTTTTAGTTATTCGTTTGTCACAAAAGATTTTGACATTTTGACCTAGCTGTATATTTGTAGTTGTAAAGCATTTACGTGGTTGGTTACGATGAATGTTTGTCATCGCCAATATAACCCTGTGTACAGACCCGGGAAGATCCTGGTTAGAATAGGTCTTCAGCAACCCCTGCTTGCCGTAAAAGGCGACTATGCTTGTCGTAAGAGGCGACTAACGTGATCGTGTGGTCAGGTTTGCTGACTTGGTTGATTCATGTCATGGTATCCTAATTGATTGGATAGATGCTCATGATCTCGCTCAGCGGTTGTCTGGTCCAGGCTCGATTTTGTAGAGATCACTGTCATATAGCTGGAATATTGCTAAATGCGGCAGTAGTTGTGTGCCCCACTACAGTAACCACTTTGGGTTCTGCTCATGCAGAAGATGGCGGCATGTCCGTTTCCGGGAGGCGTGCGCACCTCCAAGAGGGCGGCACATCCGTTTCCGGGGAGGAGGGGGAACCCAAAGAAGCGCTCGCACAATATGACAACGATAAAAAATTGAAAGACGCTTGTGTTAAATCCTGGATTATTATTTTTTTTTTAAAAAGATAAAAAAGAAGGGGTGATGGTGGTGGTGGGTGGGAGGTGGAGGAGGAGGAGGGAGGAGGAGGAGGAGGGTGGGGAGGGGGAGGGGGGAGGAGGGAATAGGAGGAGGGAGGGAGGGAGGAGGAGGAGAGGGAGGAGGAGGAGGAGTGGTTCGTTTTGGTGCCTGGCCTGCACCTCAGGTTTTCAAAAACGGACCGACCCCTGTGTTTCTTTTCCATAAGAAATGGATTTTACCATGGGAAAGAAAGCACAACCCCGGTTCAACCAATCAGAGCCCAGCGTGGCCTCTGATTGGTCCAAAACCGAGGCTTCTGATTGGTCAGATTTCGATCCGTTTTTTTTTCTTGGGTAGTCTTGGTGTTTTTAGGTAGACGGTCGGATGAATGCTAAAGGTGGACCGTCATGGGTAGACATGAACGTGATGTAGGTATGCCTACGTGATGTACTTCGTGTCTCCCCATGCAAATCGTGGTGTCATGTGTGTGTGTGTGTGTGTGTCTTCAAACAGACGTTTACGTTGATCAATAGGATTATTATTTATTCTGAGGTGTTGACACTCCTGTATGCACACATTCGTACTACCATTTGTGTTTCCATGTACACGTGATGTACTTTATGTCTTCAAACACACATGGTGTTCAAGACGTTTTTCCATAAGATTATTATTTATACCGAGGAGTTGGCACACGTGTATGCCTACATACGTACAGTCACACGTGTTTCAATGCAAACGTCATGTACTTCGTGTCTCCATGCAAACATCATGTCATGTGTGTCTCCATGCAAACATCATGTCATGTGTGTCTCCATGCAAACATGGTGTCATGTGTGTGTCTTCAAACAGACGTTTATCCATAGGATTATTTATCATCATTATATTTGTAAGGATAGAGAGAGATCGATAGACATACGTGGTGTTTGACTCGTGTCTCCTTGCAAACGTGATGCCACTCATGTACACAACCTGAAATACAACCATACACACATATTTTTGGCGTGTGCCTTCAAGAGGACTGGGGAGGGTGTGGGTTCTTTGTTTTGGATTGTTGTTTGGGTTGGCAAAGCAAAGGATGAAAGCTTTCTTTCGGAGAGATGGGTGGCCCTGAAAAGTGCCGTTTTGAAGAAGAAGAAGAAAATAACTTTTCTGCTGCTGTCCAAGAAGAAACATCATGTTCAATCTTGTTGCAAGACAAAGATCGTTCAAGCGGAACTTGATGCCATCTGGGTATATCAACTGGGTATGCCATCTGGGTGCCCTACGTGGCACAACTTGTGGGTCCAACAAAGAAAAGCTGGTTGGAAACAGGAAGTGGTAATAGTAATGAACGGAAACTTGAACGGGAAATTGAACTGGACCAGGAATCGGAATGGGAACAGGAACACAGGAAATGGGAAACGCCCTCCTAGTCAGCTGGCCATGCTACACAATTCGTGTTCCTCTGATTCACATTCTCCTCGCAGAGATAGTGTAGCTGTAGACCGGTTAGTTTGAGGTAGTCGCAGTGTGGGGACCACTTGTGGTGTTCCACCCAAGGATCGTCGTGGGACGCCCATCGTCTCAGCCACATGCCACATTGGAAACAGTACACGCCATCGGCACCCTGAGTGTAGACAAATGGGCCATCTCTTCAGCAGTCTGATTCATTTGCGTCGGCCACGCCTCAAACGAAGCGAGCCTTTTTCAAAGCGTAGATAATAGGGCGATGGTGTGTTAATGAGCGGCGACATCCCATCACCAGCATCTGTATTCTTACTCCAACATCCACGAGTATCTGCACTTTCAGTCACCACGTCTCCCTCACATGTCATCGTTCAGCTCTTCTTTGTTTCAGCCATTCTTGATGCGATGATGATGATTTTCTTCTTTTTTTTCACAAGTGACACTGACCCACTCAAGTAGTTGTTCTCTTGTTTTATAGGAGAGGAACCGGATCGAAAATCACTGCTAACTGATTGGTCCAAAATGCAGCG